CACCTGGATGGGCTCACCTGGATGGGCACACCTGGATCCGTGTGCACACCTGGATGGGCACACACACCTGGATGGGCACACCTGGATGGGCTCACCTGGATGGGCACACCTGGATCCGTGTGCACACCTGGATGGGCACACCTGGATCCGTGTGCACACCTGGATGGGCTCACCTGGATGGGCTCACCTGGATGGGCACACCTGAATCCTTGTGCACACCTGGATGGGCTCACCTGGGCTGGGCACACCTGGGCACACCTGGATCTTTGGGCACATCTGTGCACACCTGGGATGTGCACACCTGGGCACGTCTGGGCACGCCTGTGCACACCTGTGCCTTGTGCACACCTGGATCCTTGGGCACACCTGTGCCTGAGCTCACCGGGGGCCTGTGCGCTTCCAGCCCTCGTGCACACCTGAACTGTGCACACCTGGGGCTGCGCACCCACAGCTCCTCGTGCACACCTGGATCCAGCTGCACGTCCAGGTGTGCCCCCTGCACACGCAGCCCCCGCGCCCCTCTGCACACGTGTGTGCGACGGGGCACAGGTGGGGCAGCGACACACCTGGGCAGGTGTGACAGTGACACACACCTGTGTGAGCACAAACACTTGGGAAGGTGTGACAGTGACACACACCTGGGCAGGTGTGACAGTGACACACCTGGGCAGGCGTAGCGATGACACACACCTGTGAGCACGCACAGGTAACGGCTGCAGGTGTGAGCGCAGAGCAACGCAGGTGTGGCAGCTCTCGCACACCTGAGCAGCCACACCTAAGTGTGCAAATGTGCTGCTCACACCTCTGCTCACACCTGTGCTCACCTGTGCTCATCTGTGCTCACCTGTGCACACCTGTGCTCAGAGCTTTGCACACCTGTGCTCACCTGTCCCCCCAGTCGCTGATGAAACGCTTCTCTTTTCTCTCCTCTTCTCGCTGTCCCCGTGTCCCCATCCCTGTCTGTCCCCTCACTGCCACCCCCTCGCTGTCCCTCTGTCCCCTCGTGTCCCCGCTGCCCCCCCGTCTGTCCCCACCTCCACGCCTGTCGCCGTGTCCGTCTGTCCCGTCCCCACGTCCATCCTTCTGTCCCTGTCCATCCCTGTGTCCCCATGTCTGTCCCCTCTTCTTCCATCTGTCCTGCTGTCCCCGTGACTGCCATCCATCCGTGTCCCCCGTCTGTCCGTGTCTGTCACTGTCCCTGTGTCTGTCCCCTCACCCATCCCCATGCCCCCCATCCATCCATCTCCGTGTCCCCATGTCTGTCCCCACCCCGTCCTACTGTCCCCTTCCCTCCCCGTGTCTGTCCCCAAACCCATTCCCCCGCCCCTCCTCCATCCTGTGTCCGTGTGTCTGTCCCCAAACCCATTCCCCCGTCCCTCCTCCACCCCTGTGTCCGTGTGTCTGTCCCCGTGTCCCTCGCCACCCATCCCGACTCCCCACCCCTCCCGTGTCCCCGTTCCTCTCCATGTCCCATGTTACGCCTGTCCCACAAACCACCCGTGTCCTTCTGTCTGTCCCTCTGTCCCTCCCTGTGTCCCCATCTCCGTCCCCGTGTCCCCCTGTCTGTCCCCAACCTCCCCGTGTCCCCACCCTCCCGTGTCCCTCTGTCCATCCCCATGTCCCCCTGTCCGTCCCTCCCCTTGTCCCCCTGTCCCTCCCCGTGTCCCTCTGTCCGTCCCACCCTCCCCCTGGCCCTCTGTCCCTCCCCGTGTCCCCCTGTCCGTCCCCCCCCCCGTGTCCCCCCGCAGTTTTCGTCTGCCCGGGGGTGCCGCAGCGCGTGGGGCCGGCGCTGTCCACGCACGAGTCTCCGCACCAGGCGGGCGGCTGGTGCCGGGACCCGCTGCAGTCGGGGGACCGGCTCTACGTGCTGCCCTGGGTGCCGTACCGCACCGACACGCTCACCGAGTACGCCTCCTGGGCCGACCTGGTGGGCGCCCGGCCCGCGGCCACGCACCGGCTCCCGCACCGCGCCGACGGCACCGGCTTCGTGGTGTACGACGGCGCCGTGTTCTACAACAAGGAGCGCACCCGCAGCATCGTCAAGTACGACCTGCGCACCCGCATCAAGAGCGGCGAGACCGTGGTGGGCGCCGCCAACTATCACGACACGTCGCCCTATCGCTGGGGCGGCAAGACCGACATCGACCTGGCGGTGGACGAGGAGGGGCTCTGGGTCATCTACGCCACCGAGGGCAACGGCGGGCGGCTGGTGGTGAGCCAGCTGAACCCCTACACGCTGCGCCTGGAGGGCACCTGGGAGACCGGCTACGCCAAGCGGGCGGCCTCGGACGCCTTCATGGCCTGCGGGGTGCTCTACGTGGTGCGCAGCGTCTACCTGGACGACGACACGGAGCACCTGGGCAACGCGCTGGTCTACGCCTTCGACACGCGGCGCGGGCGCGGCTCGGCGCTGGCGCTGCCCTTCCCCAACCCGTACCAGTTCGTGGCCTCGGTGGGCTACAACCCCCGCGACAACCAGCTGTACGTGTGGAACAACCACTTCTTGCTGCGCTACGGCCTCGACTTCGCGCCCCTGGACGGCGACGGTCAGCGGGGAGGGGGCTGCGGGGTGGGGCTGGGGGAGAGGTGGGGAGACCACTTGGGGGGAGCTCTGGGGCCGGGGGGAGCCCTGGGGGTCCCGGTTTGCTTTGGGGGCAGCCTTGGGGGTCCCGGTTTGATTTGGGGGCAGCCTTGGGGGTCCCGGTTTGCTTTGGGGGAGCCCTGGGGGTCCCAGATTATTTTGGGGGCAGCCTTGGTGGTCTCGGTTTGCTTTGTGGGAGCCCTGGGGGGTCACAGGTTATTTTGGGGGGAGCTCTGGGGGTCCCGGTTTGATTTGGGGGAGCCCTGGGGGTCCTGGTTTATTCTGGGGGGAGCCCTGGGGGTCCCGGTTTGATTTGGGAGAGCTGTGGGGGTCCCAGATTATTTTGGGGGTGCAGCCCCAAATATCTGAGGAGAGCCCTGGGGGTCGCGGTTTGCTTTGGGGGTACAACCTGAGGTACTTCGGGGGAGCCCCAGCAAGTTGTGGGGGGCCAGTTCACCTTGGGGGTGCAGCCCCAATGCCCACAGGGAGCCCCAGATGTGTGGGGGGAGCGCTGGGGGTCCCAGTTCACTTTGGGGGTGCAGCCCCCGGTCCCAGAAGGACCCCCAGGTATTTTGGGGAGCTCTGGTTTATGCTGGGGGGCCCTCCCGGTGTTGTGGGGGTCCAGTTTAGTTTTTGGGGGGGGCAGCCCTGGGAGTCGGGGTTTACTTTGGGGGTGCCCCAGTTCACTTTGGGGGCACAGCAGTCTTGGGGGGGACCCCTGGGGGGGTCTGGAATCACTTTGGGGGGACCCCCAAGCGCTCGGGGGCACCTCCGGGTTGATTTGGGGGTCTCGCTGTGCCCCAGTCCCGGGGGGGGGGCTCCGGGGTCACTTTGGTGGGGCCATCAGCCCCTCTCCCCCCCATCGGCTGGAGGGGACCCCTGGGGGGGTTCAGGGGGGTCCCCCAGGCCCTGAACTCCCCCCCCCGTTTTTGTGCCCCCCCAGGTCTGGTGACGACCGAGCCGCTAAACAGGGATCCCCAAAATGGGACCAGCCCAAAGGGGACACCCCTAAACAGGGATCCCCCAAAATGGGACCTGCCCAAAGGGACACCCCTAAGCAGGAATCCCCCAAAACCAGGACCCCCCAGAAAGGGGGATACCTCTAACGAGGACCCCCCAAGCAGGGACCCCCTAAAATGCAGATACTCCCAAAACAGGACCCCCCCCAATGAGGAAACCCCCCCTAAATTAGGATACCCCAAAATAGGGACTGCCCCAAATGGGGACCCCCCTCCAAACAGGGACCCCCAGAAATGGGGACACCCTGAGAAGGGGGGCTGGGGGGGCACCCCTACATCCCCCACGGGGTTGGGGAGGGTCGGGGACCCCCTGAGTGGGGAGCAGCCCCTGCAGAGGGAGGGATACCCCACGACCCTCCAGGGGAGACCCCTCAGAACATCCCGACCCCACAGAGGCGCCTGATCCCACGTAGGGGGTCCCCCAAACCCCCTGGGGGATATTGGGGAGCCACCCCTGAGCTGTGGGTGCCCCCCGACCCCCTGGGAGATATCAAAGACCCCCCCACTTACCCATGGGTGCCCCCCCAAACCCCCTGGGGGATATCGGGGACCCCCCCACTGACCCATGACCCTCTCAGACCCCCTGTAACTCCCCCCAGATCTCCCAAAAGCCTGGGGGACATCAGGGAGCCCCCCTGACCCGCGGGTGCCCCCCCAAACCCCCCGGGGGATATCGGGGACCCCCCTGAGGCTGCGTGCCCCCCAGATCAAGAGCGGGGAGAACGCGGCGTCCATCGCGGGGGAGCTGGCGCGGCACACGCGGGGCCCGGTGTTCGCGGGGGACGTCAGCTCGGCCGTGCGGCTGCTGGAGCAGCTCCTGGACATCCTGGACGCGCAGCTGCAGGCGCTGCGCCCGCTCGAGAGGGAGTCCGCGGGCAAAAACTACAACAAGGTGGGACCCCAAAACCCGGATTTGGGGTTCAGCCCAAAGGGGGGGACAGGACAGGCAGGGGACTGGCAGGGGACAGTGGGGACATGGTGGTGGCACATCCTGGACAGGCAGCTGCAGGCGCTGCGCCCGCTAGAGAGGGAGTCAGCGGGGAAAAACTACAAGAAGGTGGGACCCCAAAACCCGGATTTGGGGTTCAGATTGCTGGGGGGGCCATGGGATGGGCAGAGGACCGGCAGGGGACAGTGGGGACCCGGTGGTGGCGCATCCTGGGCAGGCAGCTGCAGGCGCTGCGCCCGCTAGAGAGGGAGTCAGCGGGGAAAAACTACAAGAAGGTGGGACCCCAAAACCCGGATTTGGGGTTCAGATTGCTGGGGGACTGAGAGGGAACAGGTGGGACCCCAAAACCCGGATTTGGGGTTCAGGCTGCTGGGGGGGCAGGAGTGCTGGGGACACGGCGGTGGCACATCCTGGGTGTGCGCTGCGCCTGCTCGAGGGGAAAAATCCGGGGAACCCAAAGCCCAGATTTGGGGTTTGGCCCAAAAAGGGACTGAGGGGCAACAGGTGGGACCCAGAGGGGACAGAGGGGACAGAGGGGACAGAGGGGACAGGGGTCAAGGGCTCTGAGCACCAAAAAAGGCAGAGCCGCAACAAGAACGGCAGCGAGGTGGGACCCAAAAAACCCCAATTTGGTGTTCAGCCCAAAGGGGGAGCAGGGGGAACAGGTGGGACCCCAAAAGCCGGATTTGGGGTTCAGCCCAAAAGGGGGCCAGAGGGGGAACAGGTGGGACCCCAAAAGCCGGATTTGGGGTTCAGCCCAAAGGGGGAGCAGGGGGAACAGGTGGGACCCCAAAAGCCGGATTTGGGGTTCAGCCCAAAAGGGGGCCAGAGGGGGAACAGGTGGGACCCCAAAAGCCGGATTTGGGGTTCAGCCCAAAAGGGGAGCAGGGGGAACAGGTGGGAGACAGAGGGGACAGAGGGGACTGAGGTCGAGGGGCTCTGAGCACCAAAAAACCTACAGCAAGGTGGGAGCCCATGATGGTTTTGGGTTGTTAATTTGAGATTTTGTTATTTTTTTAGGTTTTTTTGGGGTAATGTGTTAATGAGTGTGGTGGGTTTAGTGCTGGTTAATTATTAGTATTTAATTATTAGTAATAATTATGATTATATTATTATATATTATTGTATCTATTATTGTTTGTATAAAATATGTATTATTATTATTGTATATATATTATATTATTATATATTGTATATAATTATACATATATAATATATATAATATATAAAAATATATAATATATATAATATAATATATATTTTTATATTATTATTATATATTATATTACATTATACTATTATATAACTAATTGACTAATAATTATTAGTATTTATAATACTATATGTTATTTAAACATATAAATGTATTTATATTTATATTTATACTATTTAGAATGCTAATTAATACTAATTAATATTAACATAGTTATAAATTATATATAGTATAGTGTATATTATATATACAGTTATTATGTCAATATACATTATATGATAACATATATATTATATATTATGTTAACATACATAACTTGTATAATATATGATACTACATAATAATAGTAATTACTATTATTATGCTACAATACTAATTAATTATTAGTATTTATTTTTAATTTGGAGGCAGGATTAGGAGAAAGGTAAAGTAGGTTTAAAACATTAAAAGGCTATAAAGAAAAAATTATTAATAGCAATTAAAAGAAAGAGTAATAAGAAATAGAATAAAATCTTTCAAAGTGTTTTAATTTATTTTTTTTTTTACTGATAATGTATAGAAAGCAAATTTAAAACTGTAGTTAGTTTATTATTTTGAGAAGGTTTTTATTTAGGGAGAGAAGGGGTTTTTTTGTTAATGTTATGGAGATTTTTATTTTGAAAAAAAAGTTTGGGAGCTTTGAGCACCAAAGGAGGAAGAGTTACAGCGAAAACTCGACAAGGTGGGACCCCAAAACCCCGATTTTGGGGTCACCCTATTGAGGGGTGGAGTGGCCAAGGGGGAACTTGTGCCTGTGCCCCAGTTTTGGGGGGCTCCAGAACCTGAACCCTATTTTTGAGGGTTTTGGCTGACTTTTGGGGTTCTGCCCTGAATTTTGGGGTTGTCCTGGCCGAAATGTTGAGGAGCTCCTTTTCTAGAGATCAAACATGCTCTGCCCCGAATTTTGGGGTGCTCTTGCCCAGATTTTTGGGGTCGCTGTGCTGGGCCCCTTCTCCTGTTCCACATTTGGGCAGTCCCTCCCCAAATGTTGGGGTTGTTCTGCCTCAAATGTTGGGGTTGTTCTGCCCTAGGTTTTGGGGTTCTTTCCTGGATTTTGGGAGGATCTTGTTGTGGATTTTGGGGTGCCCCTGGTGCAGGTTTTGGGGTCCCATCCCCTCACCTGGGTGTCCCCTCCCCCGTTTTATTGTCCCCCCCAGATGCACAAGCGGGAGCGAACCTGCAAGGATTACATCAAGGTGAGGGGGTGTGGCCTGAAGGGGGAGTGGCCGTGAACAATGGGAGGGGCTTGTGTGGGTGTGGTGGGCAGGGCTTGTGGAGCTGTGGGTGGGGCTTGAGTGGGTGGGCATGTCAAGGACAGGGCTATGAAATGGGTGGGGCCTGTGTTGGTGGGTGGGGCTTATTCAGGGGGTGGAATTGTCTGGGTGGGTGTGTCCCGTGGGTGGGGTCTGTCTGGGTGGGTGTGTCCCATGGGTGGGGTCTATCTGGGTGGGTGTGTCCTATGGGTGGGGTCTGTCTGGGTGGGTGTGTCCTCAGAGTTGGACATGACCACACCCAGGGCAGTGCTGGAGACCTGGGGGATGGGTGTTAGTGGGCGGGGCCTGTCCTGGGTGGATGTGGCATGTGGGCACGTCCCTTTGGGTGTGTCATTTGGGTGTGTCATTTGGGTGTGCCCCCTGGGCGTGTCCCGTGGGCGTGTCCCAAGGCGTCTCAGCCCCGCCCACCCTGCCCATTCCACAGGCTTTGCTGGAGGCCGTGGGGGTTGGGTGTGTCCATATAATATATATAATATAATATATATTTTTATATTATTATTATATATTATATTACATTATACTATTATATAACTAATTGACTAATAATTATTAGTATTTATAATACTATATGTTATTTAAACATATAAATGTATTTATATTTATATTTATACTATTTAGAATGCTAATTAATACTAATTAATATTAACATAGTTATAAATTATATATAGTATAGTGTATATTATATATACAGTTATTATGTCAATATACATTATATGATAACATATATATTATATATTATGTTAACGTACATAACTTGTATAATATATGATACTACATAATAATAGTAATTACTATTATTATGCTACAATACTAATTAATTATTAGTATTTATTTTTAATTTGGAGGCAGGATTAGGAGAAAGGTAAAGTAGGTTTAAAACATTAAAAGGGTATAAAGAAAAAATTATTAATAGCAATTAAAAGAAAGAGTAATAAGAAATAGAATAAAATTTTTCAAAGTGTTTTAATTTTTTTTTTTTTACTGATAATGTACAGAAAGCAAATTTAAAACTGTAGTTAGTTTATTATTTTGAGAAGGTTTTTATTTAGGGAGAGAAGGGGTTTTTTTGTTAATGTTATGGAGATTTTTTTATTTAAAAACTATATATTATGTTAACATACATAACTTGTATAATATATGATACTACATAATAATAGTAATTACTATTATTATGCTACAATACTAATTAATTATTAGTATTTATTTTTAATTTGGAGGCAGGATTAGGAGAAAGGTAAAGTAGGTTTAAAACATTAAAAGGCTATAAAGAAAAAATTATTAATAGCAATTAAAAGAAAGAGTAATAAGAAATAGAATAAAATCTTTCAAAGTGTTTTAATTTATTTTTTTTTTTACTGATAATGTATAGAAAGCAAATTTAAAACTGTAGTTAGTTTTTTTTTTTGAGAAGGTTTTTTTTTTTAGTTTATTTAGGGAGAGAAGGGGTTTTTTTGTTAATGTTATGGAGATTTTTTTATTTAAAAACAAAAGTTTGGGAGCTTTGAGCACCAAAGGAGGAAGAGTTACAGCAAAAACTCGACAAGGTGGGACCCCAAAACCCCGATTTTGGGGTCACCCTATTGAGGGGTGGAGTGGCCAAGGGGGAACTTGTGCCTGTGCCCCAGTTTTGGGGGGCTCCAGAACCTGAACCCTATTTTTGAGGGTTTTGGCTGACTTTTGGGGTTCTGCCCTGAATTTTGGGGTTGTCCTGGCCGAAATGTTGAGGAGCTCCTTTTCTAGAGATCAAACATGCTCTGCCCCGAATTTTGGGGTGCTCTTGCCCAGATTTTTGGGGTCGCTGTGCTGGGCCCCTTCTCCTGTTCCACATTTGGGCAGTCCCTCCCCAAATGTAGGGGTTGTTCTGCCTCAAATGTTGGGGTTGTTCTGCCCTAGGTTTTGGGGTTCTTTCCTGGATTTTGGGAGGATCTTGTTGTGGATTTTGGGGTGCCCCTGGTGCAGGTTTTGGGGTCCCATCCCCTCACCTGGGTGTCCCCTCCCCCGTTTTATTGTCCCCCCCAGATGCACAAGCGGGAGCGAACCTGCAAGGATTACATCAAGGTGAGGGGGTGTGGCCTGAAGGGGGCGTGGCCGTGAACAATGGGAGGGGCTTGTGTGGGTGTGGTGGGCAGGGCTTGTGGAGCTGTGGGTGGGGCTTGAGTGGGTGGGCATGTCAAGGACAGGGCTATGAAATGGGTGGGGCCTGTGTTGGTGGGTGGGGCTTATTCAGGGGGTGGAATCTGCATGGGCGTGGCTTAGGGATGATAATAGTAGGTGGGTGGGGCTTTGGGAGATGAGCATGGTCAGCATGGATGGGGTCTGGGGGTTTGGGGAGGTTTTGTGCTGGGTGTGGAGCGTGGAAGGACAGGTCACATGGGCGTGGGCGGAGTCTGGGTGGGTGTGTCCCATGGGTCGGGTCTGTCTGGGTGGGTGTGTCACATGGGTGGGGTCTGTCTGGGTGGGTGTGTCCTATGGGTGGGGTCTGTCTGGGTGGGTGTGTCCTATGGGTGGGGTCTGTCTGGGTGGGTGTGTCCTATGGGTGGGGTCTGTCTGGGTGGGTGTGTCCTCAGAGTTGGACATGACCACACCCAGGGCAGTGCTGGAGACCTGGGGGATGGGCGTTAGTGGGCGGGGCCTGTCCTGGGTGGATGTGGCATGTGGGCACGTCCCTTTGGGTGTGTCATTTGGGTGTGTCATTTGGGTGTGCCCCCTGGGCGTGTCCCGTGGGCGTGTCCCAAGGCGTCACAGCCCCGCCCACCCTGCCCATTCCACAGGCTTTGCTGGAGGCCGTGGGGGTTGGGTGTGTCCCTGGGTGTGTCCCCCAGGCGTGTCCCAAGGCGTGTCCCAGCCCCACCCATCCCGCAGGCTTTGCTGGAGGCTATGGGGGTTGGGTGTGTCCCTGGGCGTGTCCTTTGGGCGTGTCCCAAGGCGTGTCCCAGCCCCGCCCACGCCTCCCGTCCCGCAGGCCGTGGTGGAGGCCGTGGACAACCTGCTGCGTCCGGAGGCGCTGGAGTCGTGGCGGGACATGAACGGCTCGGAGCAGGCGCACACGGCCACCATGCTGCTGGACGTGCTCGAGGAGGGCGCCTTCCTGCTCGCCGACAACGTCAAGGAGCCCGCGCGCTTCCTGGCCGCCCGACAGAACCTGGGTCAGCCCCACGGGGACCCCGGGACCCCCACCCAAACCCCTGCGGCCCCTCCGAACCCCGAACCCCTTGCTGGGGTCCCCACAGGCCCCTGCTGCCGGCCCTGTCCCTCCTTGCAGTGCCCAGGGTCCGTAAGAGACCCTCATGTCCCAATATCCCAATCCCAATCAATCCCAGTTCCCAATCCCAAATCCCCAATCCCAAACCCAAATTTCCAAATCCCAAATTCCCAATCCCAATCCCAATCCCAGTTCCCAATCCCAAATCCCCAATTCCAATCCCAAACCCAAATTCCCACATGCCAAATTCCCAATCCAAAATCCCCAATCCCGATCCCAATCCCCGATCCTCAATTCCAAATCCCAAATTCCCAATCCCAAATCCCCCATTCCAATCCAATCCCAATCCCAAATCCCCAATCCCAATCCCAATTCCCAAATCCCAAATTCCCAATCCCAAATCCCCCATTCCAATCCAATCCCAATCCCAAATCCCCAATCCCAATCCCAATTCCCAAATCCCAAATTCCCAATCCCAAACCCCCCATCCCAATCCAATCCCAATCCCAAATCCCCAATCCCAATCCCAATTCCCAAATCCCAAATTCCCAACCCAAATCCCCATTCATCCCTGGGACACTGAGGCTCTCCCCCAATCCCTCCCCGGGGTCTCCAGGGGCCTCTCCCACCCCTGTTCCCTCCCTGGATCATCTCCCACCCCCAACCCCAACTTGGGGACCCCCACCCCAATTCCCTGAGCATTGAGGGTCTCCCGTGGGTGACACGCGCATGTTCCCGCGGGCTCTGTGTGACACACGGCTTTTCCTGCATTATTCCAGCACTTTTCTGTGGTTTTCCATGTTTTTCCGTGTTTCCTGGCAGTTTTGGAGGTGTCAGTGCTGAACACTGACAGGCCACTCCAGGAGCTCCTCTTTTCCATGTTTTCCCATGTTTTTTCCATATTTTCCAATTTTTTTTCCATGTTTTCCCCCTGTTCTGGAGGTGTCAGTGCTCAGCACCGAGGGGCCGCTCCAGAAGCTTGTGTTTTCTGTGGTTTTCCGTATTTTCCATGGTTTTTCCCTGGTTTTTCCCTGTTTTTGGCAGTGCTGGACATGTTGGTGTTTAACACCGAGGGACCACTCCAGGAACTTGTGTTTTCTGTGTTTTTCCATTTCATTTTTTTCCCATATTTTCTGTGGGTTTTTTAAATATTTTTCCATATTTTCCATGTTTTTCCCCATATTTTCCATGTTTTTTCCCTGTTTTTTGCAGTGCTGGAGGTGTTGGTGCTGAACAGTGAGGGGCTGCTCCAGGAGCTCGTATTTTCAGTGGTTTTCCTTGTTTTTCTGTATTTTCCATGGGTTTTTTTTTCCATATTCTTCCCTTTTTTTCCCTGTTTTTGGTAGTGCTGGAGATGTCAGTGCTCAACACCAAGGGGCCGCTCCAGGAGCTCATGTTTCCTGTGTTTTTCCATATTTTCCATGGGCTTTTTTCCATACTTCCCATGTGTTTTCCTGGTTTTCCATGTTGTTTTGTTACTGCTTGGGCTTTTAGGGGTCTGTCCAACCCTGGCTGCCGTGGGTGTCTGGATAGCAAAGTCCAGCTAAGCACAACCTGTCCGGGTCCCTCAGGCAGGCTCCGGGCCGCAGGCAATCTTAGCAAGCTCAGCTCTTTAGTGATTTCAGCTGTGTGGTGAATTCAGCTCTTTAGCGATTTCAGCTCTTTAGCAATTTCAGCTGTTTAGCGATTTCAGCTCTTTAGCAATTTCAGCTGTTTAGCGATTTCAGCTCTTTAGCAATTTCAGCTGTTTAGCGATTTCAGCTCTTTAGCAATTTCAGCTGTTTAGCGATTTCAGCTCTTTAGCAATTTCAGCTGTTTAGCGATTTCAGCTCTTTAGCAATTTCAGCTGTTTAGCGATTTCAGCTCTTTAGCAATTTCAGCTGTTTAGCGATTTCAGCTCTTTAGCAATTTCAGCTGTTTAGCGATTTCAGCTCTTTAGCAATTTCAGCTGTTTAGCGATTTCAGCTGTGTGGTGAATTCAGCTCTTTAGCGATTTCAGCTGTGTGGTGAATTCAGCTCTTTGATGATTTCAGCTCTTTAGCAATTTCAGCTGTTTAGCGATTTCAGCTCTTTGGTGAATTCAGCTCTCTGGTGATTTCAGCTCTCTGGTGATTTCAGCTCTTTAGCAATTTCAGCTCTTTGGTGAATTCAGCTCTTTAGCGATTTCAGCTCTTTAGTGATTTCATTTCTTTGGTGATTTCAGCTCTTTGGTGATTTCAGCTCTTTGGTGAATTCAGCTCTATTATATTTCTTTTTCTTGGGCCAGCTCTCATAAGCCCTCAAAAGAAGTATAATACACCCAAGGATAGCTCAGCTATTGCTTTGGGGGCATAAAATAAGCAGGATGACTTCTGCTGCAGTGTTAGAAACAAAAAAGGTTTAATAAAAGGCAAAATAACAAACAGAAGAACTCGAGCCAGGTGCAGAAGTCTGCTCCTGGTAAAAACACCTCACAAAAGCCTTTGTTCTTTTATTCTCTTTCTACCTCATGAGTCAGGCGGGACTTTTTAGCTTCTATCCAATTAGATGTTCTCAAGTTTTTTACTGAAGTCCCTGAGGTCCTATAAGGTGGCTTTTCACCTAATCGTTGAGAAAAACTTCTGAGCTTCTTCCCTTTTTTGAAGGACAAAAGCTACTTTTGCCACTCTGTCATTAGAGGGCACACTCCTACACAGCTCTTTGGTGAATTCAGTTCTTTGGCGATTTCAGCTCTTTGGTGATTTCATCTCTTTGGTGAATTAATCTCTTAGGTGATCTCAGCTCTTTAGCGATTTCAGCTCTTTGGTGTATTCAGCTCTTTGGTGAATTCAGCTCTTTATCGAATTCAGCTCTTTGGTGAATTCATCTCTGGTGAATTCAGCTCATTAGTGATTTCAGCTCTTTAGCAATTTCATCTCTTTAGCAATTTCAGCTCTTTGGTGAATTCAGCTCTTTGGTGATTTCAGCTCTCTGGTGATTTCAGCTCTTTGGTGAATTCAGCTCTTTGGTGAATTCATCTCTTTGGTGATTTCAGCTCTTTGGTGAATTCAGCTCTTTGGTGAATTCATCTCTTTGGGGAATTCAGCTCTCTGGTGAATTCAGCTCTTTGGTGAATTCAGCTCTTTGGTGATTTCAGCTCTCTGGTGATTTCAGCTCTTTGGTGATTTCAGCTCTTTAGCGATTTCAGCTCTTTGGTGTATTCAGCTCTTTGGTGAATTCAGCTCTTTATCGAATTCAGCTCTTTGGTGAATTCATCTCTGGTGAATTCAGCTCATTAGTGATTTCAGCTCTTTAGCAATTTCATCTCTTTGGTGAATTTAGCTCTTTAGCAATTTCAGCTCTTTAGCGATTCCAGCTCTTTGGTGATTTCAGCTCTGTGGTGAATTCAGCTCTTTGGCGATTTCAGCTCTTTGGTAATTTCAGCTCTCTGGTGATTTCATCTCTTTAGCGATTTCATCTCTTTGGCGATTCCAGCTCTGTGGTGAATTCAGCTCTTTGCTTGCCAAGTGCCTCGGCAGACGCAGGGAGAGAGAGGAGAAGGCGGCGTGAGGTTCACAGACGTGCCTTTATTGGCAGCTCCTGCGAAGGGTCTCGGTGACAGCTCTTCTGCAGAACTGGGCAGCAACAGGGCTTCACACAGGATACGGGAGTTTTGGGAAAATCCCAGTCCAATAGAGTCAAGGGAACATGACCCATGGTCTTACAGCGAGATAGCGAGGGTCCGAAGGTGGAAGAGGGGCTTCTCAGGTCCAGTCATCATGGCTTGGCATTTCTTATCTTAGGCTGGTCGCTCCAGGGAGGCCTTGCAGGCCCTGTGGCTGCTGCATTGTTTTCCCCGTTTTCCCCCAGTTCTGGAGGTGTCGTGCTCAATACTGAGGGGCCGCTCCAGGAGCTTGTGTTTTCTCTGTTTTCCCGTGTTTTCAATAGGTTTTTTTCCATATGTTCCACGGTTTTCTGGCAGTTCTGGAGGTGTTGGTGCTGAAGACAGAGTAGCTATTCCAGTAGCTCCTGTTTTTGCGTATTTCCCATGTTTTTTCCATGTTTTTCCATATTTTCAATGTTCCTTTCCATATTTTGCATGGTTTTTCCATATTTTTCATAGGGTTTTTTTTCCATATTTTCCATCTTTTCCACGTTTTCCATATTTTTTCCATGTTTTCCCCCAGTTCTGGAGGTGTCGGTGCTCAACACTAATGGGCTGCTTCAGGTTTAGCAATTTTCCATGGTTTTTCCATATTTTCCATGGGGTTTTTTCCATATTTTCCATTTTTTTCTCCATATTTTCCATCGTATTTTTCTGTATTTTCCCTGGTTTTCCATATTTTCCATGTTTGTTTCCCTGTTTTTGGCAGTGCTGGAGGTGTCGGGGCTGAACACCAAGGGGCCCCTCCAGGAGCTCGTGTTCCCCATGTTTTTCTGTATTTTCCATGGGTTCTTTCCCTGTTTTTCTGTATTTTCCATGGTTTTTTCCCTGTTTTTGGCAGTGCTGGAGGTGTCGGGGCTGAACACCGAGGGGCCCCTCCAGGAGCTCGTGTTTCCCGTGTTTTTCTGTATTTTCCATGGGTTTTTTCCATGTTTTTTCCCTGTTTTTCTGTATTTTCCATGGGTTTTTTCCCTGTTTTTGGCAGTGCTGGAGGTGTCGGTGCTGAAAACCGAGGGGCCCCTCCAGGAGCTCGTGTTTCCCATGTTTTTCTGTATTTTCCATGGGTTTTTTCCATGTTTTTTCCCTGTTTTTCTGTATTTTCCATGGGTTTTTTAACACATTGGGGGGGTTTTGGGGGTGGTTTGGGGGGTCCTGGGGGAACAGGGGGCACCCTCAGAGCAGCTGGAATGGTCAGGGGGTGTCTCTGACCTGCTGCTCCCCCAGGGGTGGTGAAGGGGGGCCTGGGTGTTTTTGGGGTGGTTTTTGGGTGTTTTTGGGGTGGTTTTTGGGTTGTTTTTGGGTGGTTTTTGGGGTGTCTTTGGGATGTCTTTGGTCTGTTTTGGGGGGTGTTTTAACAGTGTTTTTTGGGGTGTTTTTGTGGTGTTTCTGGGTGTTTTTTGCGTGTCTCTGACCCGCTGTCTCCCCAGGGGTGGTGAAGGTTGTCTTCATCCTGTACAACAACCTGGGGCTGTTCCTGCCCACCGAGAATGCCACTGTGCGGCTCGGGGGGGACGGGGGGCCCCGCGCCCCCCAGCTCGTGGTCAACTCCCAGGTCATCGCCGCCTCCATCAACAAAGAGTCCAGCAGGGTCTTCCTGCGGGACCCCGTGGTCTTCACCCTGCCCCACCTGGAGGTGAGACCCCCAAAAACCCACCCGGAACCCCAGAGATCCCTGGGACCCTCAACACTGCACCCAGAGACCCCAGATCCCCAAATCTGGATGTTTTGGGACATCCAGAACTTCACCTGCACCCACGTCGAGTTCTTCACCCTGCCCCACTTCGAGGTGGGACCCCCAAAAACCCACCCAGACCCTTCCCAGGACACCCCAAACCCCACCCAGCACCTGGGAACCACTCAGGACTCCCAAAATCCCACCGAGACCTCCAAACCCACACCCAGAGCCCTCCAGACCTGCCAGGACCCCTCATTCCCCACCCAGACCCCCAGACCAAGAACCACTTTGAGGCCAAACTTCTCCTGCAGTTACTGGGATTGGGCCCCTCTCCCTCTTTTTGGGACCCCCATTTTCTCCCCATTTCCCCATTTTCCCCCATTTCCCCATTTTCTCCCCATTTCCCCATTTCCCCCCATTTCCCTCTGTCCCAGACCAAGAACCACTTTGGGGCCAACTGCTCCTTCTGGAATTACTGGGCTTGGGGCCCACCTTCTTTGGGACCCCCATTTCCCCAGTTTTCCCCCATTTCCCAGACCAAGAACCACTGTGAGATGAACTTCTGGAATTACCGGGATTGGGCCCCTCTCCCTGTCCTTGGGACCCTCTGGGACCCCCATTTTCCCCTGACTTTTCCCCGATTTTCCCCCATTTCCCCAGACCAAGAACCACTTTGGGGCCGACTACTCCTTCTGGAATTACCGAGATTGGGGCCCCCCTCTCTTTGGGACTCCCGTTTCCCCGATTTTCCCCGATTTTCCCGGATTTTCCCCCATTCCACAGACCAAGAACCACTTTGGGGCCAACTGCTCCTTCTGGAACTACTCGGAGCGCTCCATGGCCGGGCACTGGTCGAGCCAGGGCTGCCGCCTGCTGCGCTCCAACGGCACCCACAGCTCGTGCGCCTGCAGCCACCTGACCAACTTCGCCCTGCTGATGGCCCGCAGCCAGAGCGTGAGTGCCACCCCTGGCCACACCTGGGCACACCTGGATACACACCTGGGCACACCTGGGTACACACCTGAGCCCCCATTTTCTCCCCATTTCCCCATTTTCCCCCATTTCCCCATTTTCTCCCCATTTCCCCATTTTCTCCCCATTTCCCTCTGTCACAGACCAAGAACCACTTTGGGGCCAACTGCTCCTTCTGGAATTACTGGGCTTGGGGCCCACCTTCTTTGGGACCCCCATTTCCCCAGTTTTCCCCCATTTCCCAGACCAAGAACCACTGTGAGATGAACTTCTGGAATTACCGGGATTGGGCCCCTCTCCCTGTCCTTGGGACCCTCTGGGACCCCCATTTTCCCCTGACTTTTCCCCGATTTTCCCCCATTTCCCCAGACCAAGAACCACTTTGGGGCCGACTACTCCTTCTGGAATTACCGAGATTGGGGCCCCCCTCTCTTTGGGACTCCTGTTTCCCCGATTTTCCCCGATTTTCCCGGATTTTCCCCCATTCCACAGACCAAGAACCACTTTGGGGCCAACTGCTCCTTCTGGAACTACTCGGAGCGCTCCATGGCCGGGCACTGGTCGAGCCAGGGCTGCCGCCTGCTGCGCTCCAACGGCACCCACAGCTCGTGCGCCTGCAGCCACCTGACCAACTTCGCCCTGCTGATGGCCCACAGCCAGAGCGTGAGTGCCACACCCGGGCACACCTGGGCACACACACACACACCTGCAGGCACCTGACCAACTTCGCCCTGCTGATGGCCCACAGCCAGAGCGTGAGTGCCACACCCGGGCACACCTGGGCACACACACACACACCTGCAGGCACCTGACCAACTTCGCCCTGCTGATGGCCCACAGCCAGAGCGTGAGTGCCACACCCGGGCACACCTGGGCACACACACACACACCTGCAGGCACCTGACCAACTTCGCCCTGCTGATGGCCCACAGCCAGAGCGTGAGTGCCACACCCGGGCACACCTGGGCACACACACACACACCTGCAGGCACCTGACCAACTTCGCCCTGCTGATGGCCCACAGCCAGAGCGTGAGTGCCACACCCGGGCACACCTGGGCACACACACACACACCTGCAGGCACCTGACCAACTTCGCCCTGCTGATGGCCCACAGCCAGAGCGTGAGTGCCACACCCGGGCACACCTGGGCACACACACACACACCTGCAGGCACCTGACCAACTTCGCCCTGCTGATGGCCCACAGCCAGAGCGTGAGTGCCACACCCGGGCACACCTGGGCACACACACACACACCTGCAGGCACCTGACCAACTTCGCCCTGCTGATGGCCCACAGCCAGAGCGTGAGTGCCACACCCGGGCACACCTGGGCACACACACACACACCTGCAGGCACCTGACCAACTTCGCCCTGCTGATGGCCCACAGCCAGAGCGTGAGTGCCACACCCGGGCACACCTGGGCACACACACACACACCTGCAGGCACCTGACCAACTTCGCCCTGCTGATGGCCCACAGCCAGAGCGTGAGTGCCACACCCGGGCACACCTGGGCACACACACACACACCTGCAGGCACCTGACCAACTTCGCCCTGCTGATGGCCCACAGCCAGAGCGTGAGTGCCACACCCGGGCACACCTGGGCACACACACACACACCTGCAGGCACCTGACCAACTTCGCCCTGCTGATGGCCCACAGCCAGAGCGTGAGTGCCACACCCGGGCACACCTGGGCACACACACACACACCTGCAGGCACCTGACCAACTTCGCCCTGCTGATGGCCCACAGCCAGAGCGTGAGTGCCACCCCTGGGCACGCCTGGGTACACACCTGGGCATCGCTGGGTACACCTGGGCATGGGTGGGTACACCTGGGCACACCTGGACACACACCTGGGCACACCTGAGAGAGCTACGACACACCTGGGATCACCTGGTTGAGGGTCCTGCTGGCCCCTGCCCCCTCCTGGTGGCCCCTGTCCCTCCCCCTGACCTCGGCTCAGTCCCAACCCCCTCCAAATCTCTCATTCCTCCCCAAAATTCCATTTTCCCAGTTCCCACAGCAGCTGAGCCTTCATTCAGGTGCTGCTGTCGGTGCTCACCTGGGCAGGGATCCTGGTGGCCCCTGTCCCTGCCCATGGATCCAGATGACCCCAAACATTGCCTAAATGCCCAGAATTCCCATTTTCCCCCGTTTCCTGCAGTTCCGGGGGCGGCTGAAGTAGGTGCTGCTGTCGGTGATCACCTGGGCGGGGAACCTGTCCCATCCTATGTCCCTTCCTGGTGGCCCATGACCTTTCCTGGTGGCCCATGTCCCTGCCCATGACCATGAGTGGATCCCATAACCCCAAATCCCCCCTGGAATTCCCATTTTCCCCCCGTTTCCCGCAATTCCCGGGGCAGCTGAAGGAGGTGCTGCTGTCGGTGATCACCTGGGTGGGGATCCTGTCCCATCCGATGTCCCATCCTGGTGGCCCATGTCCCTTCCTGGTGGCCCATGTCCCATCCTGGTGGTCACTGTCCCTGCCCATGACCATGACTGGATCCCATAACCCCAAATCCCCACCAGAATTCCCATTTTCCCCCCGTTTCCCGCAGTTCCCGGGGCGGCTGAAGGAGGTGCTGCTGTCGGTGATCACCTGGGCAGGGATCCTGTCCCATCCTATGTCCCGTCCTGGTGGCCCATGTCCCTTCCTGGTGGCCCATGTCCCATCCTGGTGGTCACTGTCCCTGCCCATGACCATGACTGGATCCCATAACCCCAAATCCCCACCAGAATTCCCATTTTCCCCCCGTTTCCCGCAGTTCCCGGGGCGGCTGAACGAGGTGCTGCTGTCGGTGATCACCTGGGCAGGGATCCTGGTGGCCCTGCTGTGCCTGGGCCTGTCCATCTCGGCCTTCTGCTGCCTGCGGGGGCTGCCCTCGGAGCGCACCACCATCCACAAGAACCTCTGCATCAGCCTCTTCCTCGCCGAGCTGCTCTTCCTCGTGGGCATCGACAAGACGCAGTACCAGGTGGGGCTGGCACACCTGGGGCACCCCGGGGCGTACCTGGGGCTCGGGAGGGACAGCCCACGGCACACCTGGGACATGCCACATCACACCTGGGACTGCCCATGGCACACCTGGGACCCCTGAGGGACCGCCCATGGCACACCTGGGATCCCTCATGGCACACCTGGGACATGCCACATCACACCTGGGACTGCCCATGGCACACCTGGGACTGCCCATGGCACACCTGGGACCCCTGAGGGTCCACCCATGGCACACCTGGGATCCCTCATGGCACACCTGGGACATGCCACATCACACCTGGGACTGCCCATGGCACACCTGGGACCCCTGAGGGACCACCCATGGCACACCTGGGGCTCTGGAGGGACAGCCCACGGCACACCTGGGACCCCTGAGTGACACCCTGTGGCACACCACCAGAATTCCCATTTTCCCCCCGTTTCCCGCAGTTCCCGGGGCGGCTGAACGAGGTGCTGCTGTCGGTGATCACCTGGGCAGGGATCCTGGTGGCCCTGCTGTGCCTGGGCCTGTCCATCTCGGCCTTCTGCTGCCTGCGGGGGCTGCCCTCGGAGCGCACCACCATCCACAAGAACCTCTGCATCAGCCTCTTCCTCGCCGAGCTGCTCTTCCTCGTGGGCATCGACAAGACGCAGTACCAGGTGGGGCTGGCACACCTGGGGCACCCCGGGGCGTACCTGGGGCTCGGGAGGGACAGCCCACGGCACACCTGGGACATGCCACATCACACCTGGGACTGCCCATGGCACACCTGGGACCCCTGAGGGACCGCCCATGGCACACCTGGGATCCCTCATGGCACACCTGGGACATGCCACATCACACCTGGGACTGCCCATGGCACACCTGGGACCCCTGAGGGACCACCCATGGCACACCTGGGGCTCTGGAGGGACAGCCCACGGCACACCTGGGACCCCTGAGTGACACCCTGTGGCACACCTGGGACCCCTGAGGGACACCCCATGGCACACCTGGGACCCCTCATGGCACACCTGGGACTGCCCATGGCACACCTGGGACCCTTCATGGCACACGTGGGACATCCCAGGGCACATCTGAGAACCCCAGGGGACCACCTGTGGCACCACAGGACCCTCACAGTGCCCCGGGACTGCCCATGGCACACCTGGGACATCCCACATCACACCTGGGACATGCCACATTGCACCTGGGACTGCCCATGGCACACCTGGGACATGCCACATCACACCTGGGACTGCCCATGGCACACCTGGGACATGCCACATCACACCTGGGACTGCCCATGGCACACCTGGGACATGCCACATCACACCTGGGACTGCCCATGGCACACCTGGGACATCCCACATCACACCTGGGGCTGCCCATGGCACACCTGGGACATCCCAGAACAGCCCTGAGACCCCTGGAATGTCCCATTGCACCCCACAGCACCCCTGTGGGGCAGCCCATGGCACCCCTGTGACACCTGGGATCCCCAGGGGACCACCCATGACACAGGGGGACATCGCAGGACACCCTGTGGCACATTTGGGACTCCCAAGGGACCACCCATAGCATCCTTCTGGCTGTCCCCATCCCTGTCCCTGTCCCTGTCCCTGTCCCTCAACCACTGTCGGCGCAGCTGTCCCCATCCATCTTTGGGCTGTCCCTGTCCCATCTTTGGACAGTCCCTGTCCCCACGCTGTCCCCACACTGTCCCTACATGTCCCCATCCCTGCAGGTGGCCTGTCCCATCTTTGGGCTGTCCCTGTCCCTGTCCCTGTCCCATCTTTGGGCAGTCCCTGTCCCCACGCTGTCCCTACATGTCCCCTGCCCCACAGGTGGCCTGTCCCATCTTTGGGCTGTCCCTGTCCCTGTCCCTGTCCCATCTTCGGGCAGTCCCTGTCCCCACACTGTCCCCGCGCTGTCCCCACACGTCCCCACACGTCCCCACACGTCCCCATCCCCACAGGTGGCCTGTCCCATCTTTGGGCTGTCCCTGTCCCTGTCCCTGTCCCATCTTTGGGCAGTCCCTGTCCCCACGCTGTCCCCGCGCTGTCCCCACGCTGTCCCCACACGTCCCCACACGTCCCCCTCCCCGCAGGTGGCCTGTCCCATCTTCGCCGTGCTGCTGCACTATTTCTTCCTGGCGTCGTTCTCGTGGCTGTGCCTGGAGGGCGTTCACCTGTACCTGCTGCTGCTCGAGGTGTTCGACAGCGACCCCGCCCGCCGCAAGTACTACTACGCGGGGGGGTACTTCTTCCCCGCCGTCGTGGTGGCCGTGGCCGCCGCCGTGGACCACCGCAGCTACGGCACCGACCAGGCGTGAGCGCGGGGCGGGGCTGGGCGGGGCTGGGTGGAGCCAGGACATGGCTGGGGTGTGGCTGAGGTGTGGCCAGGGTGGGGCTGGGGCATGGCTGGGGTGTGGCCAGGGTGTAGCCAGGGTGGGGCTGGGTGGGGCCATGACATGGCTGGGGTGTGGCCAGGGCGGGGCAGGGGCATGACTGGGGTGTGGCCAGGGTGTGGTCAGGGGTGTGGCCAGAGGTGTGGACGGCATGGGGCTGGAGCTGAAATGTGACCAAGGTGTGACCAGGGTGTGGCTGGGGTGTGGGTGGGGTGTGGTTGGGGTGTGGTTGGGGTGTGGCTGGGGTGTGGCTTCCACCATGGGGAGTGACCAGGTGTGAATGAAAGGGCTGGGGGTGTGGCCTGATTTAGGGGGTGTGGCTCGGGCTGGGGACAGGGCTTCCCCATTGGGAGTGACAGGTATGATAGAGGAGCTGAGGGTGTGGCCTGAGTCAGGGGGCGTGGCTTGAAGCAGGGTGGGACCATAGGTGCTGCTGTGGGACTCACCAGGTGTGTATGGGGGCTCTGGGGGAGGAGCTTTGCCAGTGGGGGTGGGGTCTGATCCATGGGGGCGTGGTCTCACACTGTGTGGGGCATGTTCCGATGACGCCCCGCCCCTGGCAGGTGCTGGCTGCGGGTGGACAATTATTTCATCTGGAGCTTCATCGGGCCTGTGGCCTTCGTCATCCTCGTAAGGGGGGCTGGGGGGGTTTTGGGGGGCTGGGGGACCAGGGATGGACCTTTGTCATGCTCAGATGGGGGATTCGGGGGCTTGGGGGAATCTGGGGGTCTGGGGTTGGACCTTCCTCATCCTCATCCTCATCTGTGGATGAGGCAACCCCAATGGGTATCATGCCGTGGGGCAGCTGTGGGGTCCCACAATGGCTCTGGGGTCCCCCTGTGGCTCTGGGGTCCCCATATCTCAGGGTGGGTCCTGCAGTGGCACTGGGCAGGTCCCGCAGTGGGTCTGGGGTCTCCCCGTGGCTCTGGGGTCCCCTCGTGTCTCACCTGGGTCCCCCCATGGCTCTGGAGTCCCCCCGTGTCTCACCTGGGGTGTCCCCCTGGCTCTGTGTCCCCCTGTGTCTCACCTGGGGTGTCCCCCCGCGTCTCACCTGGGGTCCCGCAGGTGACGCTGGTGTTCCTGCTGGTGACCCTGCACAAGATGCTGCGCAGCTCGGCCGCCCTCAAACCCGACTCCAGCCGCCTGGACAGCATCAGGTGGGGACCCCAAATGGGACCCCACAGGGGGGAACCCCGAACGGGACCCTACAGGGGGGAACCTCGAATGGGACCCCAAAGGGAAACCCTAAATGGCACCAAACTGGGGGGGTATCCAAACGGGGAAGGGTGGACCCCAAATCCACAGGGGGGAACCCAAAACGGGACCCCAAAGTGGGGGACCCCGAATGGCACCCCAAAGGGAAACCCCAAATGGGACCCCCAAACTGGGGGAGGCTCCAAACAGGGAGGGATGGACCCCAAACAGGACCCCCGAACTGGGGGGACCTGCAGAGACAGGAGGAACCCAGCTGGGACCCCCTGTGGGCACCCACAAATGGGGGGATCCCAAGTGAGTTCAGGGGGGCCCAAATGAGATCCTGAACAGGGGGAACCCAAGTGGGACCCCTGAATGGGGCATCCCAAACAGGACCCCAAACAGGGACCCCAAGAGGGACCCCAAAACGAGGCCCACCTCCCCAAAATGGGGCCCAGCTGTGGGTGCTGGAGATCCCAGAACCCTCCCAGTCCTTCCCAGTGCCCTTCAGTCCCTCCCAGTACCCTCCCAGTGTCCCCCCAGTGCCTCCCACTGCCCTCCAGTCCCTCCCAGTACCCTCCCAGTGTCCCCCCAGTGTCTCCCAGTACCCTACAGTCCCTTCCAGTGCCTTCCAATGCCTCCCACTGCCCTCCAGTCCCCTCTCTCAGGATCTCTGGCTGCCCCACCGCTCCCCACTCCCCTCCCAGTACCCTCCAGTCCCTCCCAGTGTCCCTCCAATGCCTCCCAATGCCCTCCAGTGCTCCCCACTCCCCTCCCAGTGCTCCCCACTCCCCTCCCAGTGCTCCCCAGTCCCTCCCAGTGCCTCCCAGTGCCCCAGCTGAGCGGGTGCCCCGCAGGTCGTGGGCGCTGGGGGCCATCGCGCTGCTGCTGCTGCTGGGGCTCACCTGGGCCTTCGGGCTCCTCTTCGTCACCCGCGAGTCTGTGCTGACGGCGTCGCTGTTCACGGCCTGCAATGCCCTGCAGGGCACCTTCATCTTCCTCTTCCACTGCGCCCTCCAGAAGAAGGTGTGGGGGGCACTGGGGGCACTGGGAGGCACTGGGATGGACTGGGATGGACTGGGATACACGGAGATCCTGGGTGAGGGACAGTGGGAGGACAAAGGGATGACATCAGTCGAGGACCTTCATCTTCCTCCTCCACTGCGCCCTCCAGAAGAAGGAGGAGGAGAGACTGGGGCAGACTGGGGGTCACAGGGAGGAACTGGGAGGCACTGAGGACGCACTGGGAGGCACTGGGAGATAGTGGGACAGCCAGAGATTAGGAATGAAGGGACTGGGAGGACACTGCGTGGGCACCTTCCTCTTCCTCTTCCTCTTCCTCTTCCACTGCGCCCTCCGGGAAAAGATTTGGGGGGCACTGGGAGAGACTGGGAGGGACCGGGATCCTCACAGAGCATGAGTGAAGGGCACTGGGATGGACTGGGGGGAACTGGGAGAGTGGGACCTCCAGAGATCATGAGCAAGGGCACTGGGAGGACTGGGTGTTACTGGGGGTGTTCCTGGTGTGTTACTGGGGGCCATTGGTGTGTTACTGGGGGCCAACTGGTGTAAACTGGTGTGTTACTGGTGTTACTTGGTGTTACTGGTGTGTTACTGGGTGTTACTGGTGTTAATGGTGTGTTACTGGGGGGCAATGTGTGGGGGGCACTGGGGGCACTGGGAGGCACTGGGATGGACTGGGATGGACTGGGATACACGGAGATCCTGGGTGAGGGACAGTGGGAGGACAAAGGGATGACATCAGTCGAGGACCTTCATCTTCCTCCTCCACTGCGCCCTCCAGAAGAAGGAGGAGGAGAGACTGGGGCAGACTGGGGGTCACAGGGAGGAACTGGGAGGCACTGAGGACGCACTGGGAGGCACTGGGAGATAGTGGGACAGCCAGAGATTAGGAATGAAGGGACTGGGAGGACACTGCGTGGGCACCTTCCTCTTCCTCTTCCTCTTCCTCTTCCACTGCGCCCTCCGGGAAAAGATTTGGGGGGCACTGGGAGAGACTGGGAGGGACCGGGATCCTCACAGAGCATGAGTGAAGGGCACTGGGATGGACTGGGGGGAACTGGGAGAGTGGGACCTCCAGAGATCATGAGCAAGGGCACTGGGAGGACTGGGTGTTACTGGGGGTGTTCCTGGTGTGTTACTGGGGGCCATTGGTGTGTTACTGGGGGCCAACTGGTGTAAACTGGTGTGTTACTGGTGTTACTTGGTGTTACTGGTGTGTTACTGGGTGTTACTGGTGTTAATGGTGTGTTACTGGGGGGCAATTGGTGTAAACTGGTGTGTTACTGGTGTTACTGTGTGTTACTGGTGTTACTGGTGTGTTACTGGTGTGTTACGTGTGATAGTGGTGTGATACTGGTGTTACTGGTGCGATACTGGTGTTACTGGTGTGATACTGGTGTCGCTGGTTGCCCGCAGGTGCACCGGGAGCTCAGCAAGTGCCTGCGGCACTCGGGGTGTTGCCTCAGGGGCCCCCCCGGCACCTCCCTGGGCGCCCTCAAACCCTCGGCCGCCCGCGCCCACCCCCGGTACTACAGCGGCACCCAGGTGGGCACCCCAAAAACACCCCAAAACCACCCAAAAACCTTCCCCTAAATCCCACCCCCGGTACTACAGCGGCACCCAGGTGGGGACCCCCAAAAAACCCCAAAACCACCCAAAAAACTTCCCCTAAATCCCACCCCCCGGTACTACTAATTTTCCCACCCTTCCCCCTCACATTTCCTGCCCTTTCCCCCTCACATTTTCCACCCTTTTCCCACTCACTTTTCCCATCCATTTCTCGCCTCACGTTTCCCACCATTTTTCCACTTACCTTTCCCACCCTTTTTTTCCCTTCACGTTTCCCACCCCTTTTCCCCTCACGCTTCCCGTCCTTTTCCCCTCACATTTCCCACCACTTTTTCCTCTCACTTTCCCACCTTTCCCTCTCACATTTCCTGCCCTTTTCCCCTCACATTTCCTGCCCTTTTTTCTCTTACCTTTCCCACCCTTTTTTCCGCTCAGGTTTGCCACCCTTCTCCTTTTACGTTTTCCACCTCTTTCCCCCTCATGTTCCCCTCCCTTTTCCCCCTCACTTTTCCTGCCCTTTCCCCCTCACATTTTCCGCCCTTTTCCCACTCCCTTTTCCCCCCTTTTCCTCCCTTACCTTTCCCCCCCATTTTTCCCCTCAGGCTTGCCACCCTTCTCCTTTTACGTTTTCCACCTCTTTCCCCCTCATGTTCCCCTCCCTTTTCCCCCTCACTTTTCCTGCCCTTTCCCCCTCACATTTTCCGCCCTTTTCCCACTCCCTTTTCCCCCCTTTTCCTCCCTTACCTTTCCCCCCCATTTTTCCCCTCAGGCTTGCCACCCTTCTCCTTTTACGTTTTCCACCTCTTTCCCCCTCATGTTCCCCTCCCTTTTCCCCCTCACTTTTCCTGCCCTTTCCCCCTCACATTTTCCGCCCTTTTCCCACTCCCTTTTCCCCCCTTTTCCTCCCTTACCTTTCCCCCCCATTTTTCCCCTCAGGCTTGCCACCCTTCTCCTTTTACGTTTTCCACCTCTTTCCCCCTCATGTTCCCCTCCCTTTTCCCCCTCACTTTTCCTGCCCTTTCCCCCTCACATTTTCCGCCCTTTTCCCACTCCCTTTTCCCCCCTTTTCCTCCCTTACCTTTCCCACCCATTTTTCCGCTCAGGTTTGCCACCCTTCTCCTTTTACGTTTTCCACCTCTTTCCCCGTCATGTTCCCCTCCCTTTTCCCCCTCACTTTTCCTGCCCTTTCCCCCTCACATTTCCCACCTTTTTCCCCTCACATTTCCCACCTTTCCCCCTCACGTTTCCCCCCTTTTTCACCTCATGTTTCCTGCTCCTATTCCCCTCACATTTCCTGCCCTTTCCCCCTCACATTTTCCACCCTTTTCCCACTCACTTTCCCCACCTTTCCCCCCCACTCACATTTCCTGCCATTTTTTCCCTTACATTTCCCACCCTTTTTCCCCTCAGGTTTGCCACCCCTTTTTCCCTCGTGTTTCCCACTGTTTTCTCCTCATGTTTCCCACCCTTTTCACTGCACATTTCCTGCTCTTATTCCCTTCACATTTCCTGCCCTTTCCCCCTCACATTTTCCACCCTTTTCCCACTCACTTTTCCCATCCATTTCTCGCCTCACGTTTCCCACCATTTTTCCACTTACCTTTCCCACCCTTTTTTTCCCTTCATGTTTCCCACCCTTTTCCCCTCACGTTTCCCTCCCTTTTCCCCTCACATTTTCCACCACTTTTTCCTCTTACATTTCCTGCCCTTTCCCCCTGACATTTTCCACCCTTTTCCCACTCACTTTTCCCACCTTTTTTTCCCTTCAGGTTTGCCACCCTTCTCCTTTTACGTTTCCCACCTCTTTCCCCCTCATGTTTCCCTCCCTTTTCCCCCTCACTTTCCTGCCCTTTTCCCCTCATGTTTCCCACCTTTTTCCCTCACATTTCCCACCCTTTTCACCTCATGTTTCCTGCTCCTATTCCCCTCACATTTCCCACCTTTTCCCCTCACATTTCCTGCCCTTTACCCCTCACATTTTCCACCCTTTTCCCACTCACTTTCCCCACCTTTCCCCCCCCACTCACATTTCCTGCCATTTTTTCTCTTACCTTTCCCACCCTTTTTCCCCCTCAGGTTTGCCACCCTTTTCCTCTCACGTTTCCAGCCCTTTTTGCCTCATGTTTAAGTCCTTTTTCTCCTCACATTTCCCACTGATTTCCCCTCACGTTTCCCACCCTTTTCACCTCACGTTTCCTGCTCTTATTCCCTTCACATTTCCCACCTTTTTGGCCTCGCATTTCCCACCCTTTCTCCCTCATGTTTTCCATCATTTCCCCCTTACCTTTCCTGCCCTTTCTCCCCCACATTTCCTGCCATTTCCCCCTCACTTTTCCCACCCCTTCCCCCCCTTCACAATTCTCACTGTTTTTCCCTCACATTTCTCACCCTTTTCACTGCACATTTCCTTCTGTTATTCCCATTTCCTGCCCTTTTCCCTCTCACATTTTCCACCCATTTCCCTTCACATTTCCTGCCTATTTCCCCCTCATATTTCCTGCCCTTTCCCCCTCTTATTTCCCTTTTCCCCTCACATTTCCCACCCTTTTCCCTTCACATTTCCTGCCTATTTCCCCCTTGTATTTCCTGCCCTTTTCCCCCTCATATTTCCCTTTTCCCCTCACATTTTCCACCCTTTTCCCCTCACATTTCCCATCCCTTTCCCCTCCCTTTTTCTACCCTTTTCCCCTCAGGTTTTAAACATTTTTCCCACCACTTTTCCTTGCCCCTTTCCTCCTCAGCTTTAATCCTGGGGCTGCCACACTTCCCTCATCCCTCTTGGGGCCTGTCAATCATTCTGAGAGGCTGATCCTGCCTGTCAATCACTTTTATTCCTGCCCGTCAATCACTCTGAGGGGCTGATCCTGCCTGTCAATCACTTTTATTCCTGCCCGTCAATCACTCTGAGGGGCTGACCTTGCCTGTCAATCACTTTTATTCCTGACTGTCAATCACAGAGGCCACATGTCAATCATTCTAGTCCTGCCTGTCAGTCCCACACAGACACCTCAGAGCCCTCTGACCCCCCACAGCCCCCCAAATAATCCCCCCATACTCATACCCAGCAGTACAGCAGCACCCAGGTTGGGACCCCCAACCCCACCAAATAACCCCTCACCCCAAAAGCCCAAAGCCCCCAAACCCACTCCACACCCAGGATCCTCCCCATGGCACCCCCAAATCCCTCCAGACGCTCAAACCCCCCATGACAGACCCAGACCATCCCCCAGATGCACGTGGGCCCCCTCCAGACCCCCCACATCTACCTGTGGCACCCCAAGATCCCCCCGTGTTACCCTCCAGACCCAAAACCTCCCTCAGACCCCGCCAGGCTGTGGGTGCTGGATGTGGGGACACCTCGGAGGTATTCTGGGTTGTCCGGGGGGCTCTGGGGTGGTTTTTGGGGGGTTCTGGGGGTCCCAGCCCCAGCGTTGTGCCCCCAGAGCCGGATCCGGAGGATGTGGAATGACACGGTCCGGAAACAGACGGAGTCCAGTTTTATGGGGGGGGACCTGAACAGCACCCCAACCTTGAACCGAGGTGAGACACCCCAAAAAACACCTCAGAACCCCCCCTACCCTGCACGGAGCTGAGCCCCTCCCCAGAGACCCCAGAGACCCCCAGAGACCCCAGAGACCATCCTCCACCCTGAATGGAGTGAGACCCCTCCCCAGAGACCCCAGAGACCATCCTCCACCCTGAATGGAGTGAGACCGCTCCCCAGAGACCCCAGAGACCATCCTCCATCCTGAATGGAGTGAGACCCCTCCCCAGAGACCCCAGAGGCCATCCTCCATCCTGAATGGAGTGAGACCCCTCCCCAGAGACCCCAGAGACCATCCTCCATCCTGAACAGCGGTGAGACCCCTCCCAAAAAGCCCCACGGGACCCCAAAGATCCCTCTGGGCCCCCTCAGACCCCCAGGGACCATCCAGGACCCCTTTCCAGACCCCCTGAGATGCCTGGGATCCACCTCAGACCCCTGAGCCTCCCCACCCCCTCCCCCGGGACCCCCTGGGACCCAAAACCCCCTCTGGGATGCCTTTGGGTTCCCCCCATATCCTCTGGGACCCCTCTGATCCCCCACAGGTCCTGGGGTCCCCAAAGACCCCTCTGGTCCCCCATGGGACCTCCCCAGACTCCACTCACACCCCTCCAGGACACTGGTGGGACCCCCAGGACCCCCCCAGACCCCCCAGCCCCCCGGGTGTGACCCCTCTCCCTCTCCGCAGGGTCGCACCTCCTGCCCAACCCGGTGCTGCCGCCGCGGGGGGGGTCGAGCCCCTACAACACCCTCCTGGCCGAGGGGGGGGGCTTCACCCCCGCCTCCCCCCCCGCCTTCACCGCCCCAGGTGGGTCTGGGGGGGCACGACCCCCCCCAAACTGCCCCCCAAACCCTCGGGACCCCAAAAGACCCTCCCCCAAATCTTCCTCCCTCAGCACCCCCTGGGTGGGTTCAGGGGGGGCTTGGAGGGTCCTGGATGCTCCCACCCTGAACACCCCAGTTTCAGCCCCTGGGGGGGGCAGCTGGTCCCACAAAATCCCCCCACGCCCCCCTGGATCTCCCCAAAATCCCCACAGCCCCTGCCCCCAAGGGGGAATGGGGGGTTCGGGGGGTCCTGGCTGCTGCATCCTCCACTATTTCAGCCCCTGGGTGGGAGTGGGGGGATTTTCCTGCCCCCGCCAGCTGCCCCCACCACCTCGGCCCCCAAAACTCCCCCCACAACCTCACAGAGGGGGACAGGTGAGTCCTGACCCCACACAGCCCCCCCAGGACCCCCGAATTCCCCCCAGTGTCCCCACATGTGGGGTGACAGAGGGTGCTGGGGAATTGGGGCAGATCGGGGGGGGAATTGGGGGGTCCGAGGAGGATCAGGACCCCCCCTAAGTGCTGTGTCTCTGTCCCCAGGGAGCTTCCGTGACACCAGTAAGTGCTGCCCCACGACCCCCCCTGCCCCTCCTTGCCCAGTGTCCCCACATGTGGGGTGACAGAGGGTGCTGGGGAATTGGGGCAGATCGGGGGGGGAATTGGGGGGTCCGAGGAGGATCAGGACCCCCCCTAAGTGCTGTGTCTCTGTCCCCAGGGAGCTTCCGTGACACCAGTAAGTGCTGCCCCACGACCCCCCCGTGCCCCTCCTT